TTCAACACAGACTTGCCTGTTGTCAAGAGAACGTTACTTATATTCACTGGACTTGAGTACGGTTATTGAATAGCCTTCATACAGTTATAAGGAAACTGGAGCAGAACACGACACAATTGTATCACGTTATGTAAATTGTAATCAGAATTGCAAAACAGAAAATTGTTCACCAAATAACCTATGATTTGCAAAACAGTGAGAGAGCGAAAAGAAAAAAAAAAGACACAAATGTAAACCGTTGTTTTGTTAGCAGTATCTCTTCCTCCTAAAAAAGGTAATTGTCTAAGGAAAAGAAGAAAGAATTATATTGTTGTATTACCGTTATCCAAACACTAAGTTGTACTAGGTAGACGATAATTATACTAAAGAGTAAAAAATAAAAACTTCAAGAAAAAAAAAGAAGCAAATCAATTGTTTAATAATTAAAAAACCAAAATATATATATATGCTTAAAAACAATTTTTAAACACTGAACAATGTCAATAAAAAATTTTAGTTTTTCAATGAACGACTAAAAACGAAGTTTAAAAACGAAGCAGTAATAGTTCAGCCAAAATTTGACCAAATGATGGACACAATTTTGGCACGCCTATTGTCCCCATTGTAATCGTCGTTTACCATACAGTCGGTTACCAATTTTCATCTGCCGTTCTCATTCAGCTTAGGGTTTTCAAACTCTTCATCAATCTCATTGCGGAATCTCCAGTTCTCAGGTTACAAGAACTGGTAGTAGTAGTAGTAGTAGTTAATTTCTTCGTCCACAATAATGGCTACACGCAACGCCTTCAGTGATGGGCGGAGTCGTGCCGCAAAACATCGTTTTAAATGCTTTATATAAAACCTACGAGTACCGCACAACCAACCAGACGGTTCTCATTAAGGATAGGTTTAGTATTGAAAGGGTTAAAAATTTTCACAGTTACTATCAAATAATGAGCAGACAAAAAATTATATTTTGTTTAACAAAACCAAAAATGGATTGCTATATTAAAGTGTGCGATTTATTTTTAGAAGTCGTTGTGCCGCGCGTCACGAACATACGAATAGTGTGTAACCAAATATGACCATTAAGGGCAAATTTTCGCTTTAATGGAAGTCAGAGCCAAAATTTGTTGTTTCAAATTTGTATGCAGACAGCATTGTGCTTTTGTATAGCTAAACGTAAAATCACTAAAACTTGCTTTAAATGGAAAACGTATTGTGTCAGTGAAAAGATGATTGTCAAAGTGAATGTTACCTCGAAAATGCAAACTTTAGTGGTTGATTACAGGATATAGGCTCGGTACCATCCAATGTCTTGCACTCTTACACTGCCGTAACGACAACCGATGTAGTCGTCGAACACGGTGGTCTGTAGCAGCTGAGCGCCTAACTGTTGGGCAGCCTTTAATCACAACGACAATCACCACGTGTTCTTGTCAAGTAAAACTACTTGTGTTTCTGTTTCCTACCAGTATCCCCGTTCTTTAATTTACATAGATTACGAAAGAAAAAACTGTCCTTTTTTTAATTCAGCGACAACATTCCGACCGGCTTTGAAATAGTTTAAAACTTTTTAGTGCATAAAAGCAAGTTTTTCAAAGTCATTACTGTCATTACTGTTCTTCTAATCATTTACCATTAAAATTTTTTGTTGTCTGAACATTTCAAATTCATTTGCTCGCTAAACAAAAAAGTGGTATATCTTAGGATAAACATTTGGTAATTCCTGAAAGTTTATTTTAAGCAATACTATTTAGATGTAGTGGCTTACTTTCAAATTTACTGTGAAAAAAACTATTTTTTTTTTTGTTTACCAAAATTCAAAGAAATTAAGGTCCATAAAAATAATTCAGGTGATACAAACACTGATACATTATTACCAGTTTGACAAATCACTGATGGATGATTATTTTTCTCATTCTCAATGGAGTGTTTTTAAAAGCTGTAAATTACAAAAGTGTCTATAAAATTTTGAATCCATCAGACAATAACATTAGAATCTTTTTAAAATGTCTGGGAATTCCATTCGTAGAAACAGTGCGCCATAGACGTTCCAAGACTACAGTTAGCCAAGTATGGCATTCGGTAATGATGAGGTAATTTTTTTATTAAAAGAAATTTGGTAGTCGGAAAGGTTGTTAGAAACCAGTAATACTTTAATGGACCAAAACAAGAAATAATTGAGCACTGTTTGATCTCAGCATAAAAAAAAAGGCAAGATGCTAGAATATTTCTGTAGTCAAATATGTGGTCCATTTTTCTTCAAAAATGCATTCACTACAAATTGCCAAAATATTATGGTGTATCAAGGCTTCTAAAAAACCTTTTGGTACATAATCGTTTACCAGTTAGTAGGCCACGTTGACTGTGAAACTTGTGTGAACCATTTGCCGATGGTGTCATATAAAGCTGAAAGTCAAGGGCAAATACGATAAAATGTATAACAGTGACAGCTTCACGTCATATCGGGGAAAGCCATCAAAGATGACAAATAAGTTTGCCGTTTGGCACAGAAAATCAGTCGCTGAAAACTTAGATTTATTCTATTTTTAGAGTATCAATTGTTCAAGTGATACAAAGTGTACGAGATGAAAACAGATTTGAAAAAATTGTCTGTTAAAATCAAGAATAAGGAAATAATAGTAAGATCAATAGTAGACCAAATAACAAACGAAAGCTACAAAAAGAATTTGTGTGAACGTTACCAACGGTGTATTAATCTTTGATCGGCAGCTTCATGCAATGGGCTTACCGTTGTCATATGATGAGCAAAAAGTACAGCGAAAATTAAGTCAGGAATGAATCTCTTATTTCTTTTTGACCAAATGTGTATAGAGCCAGTAATATTTACAAGAAATTAACTAAATTTTTGATTGATTTCTGCAATAAACATTCAAAAACTATGACCTGTTAACAAAAACAAAAAAGATATTTTATTTTCTTATCCAGCAACCACTTGGCTAAATGAACAGATTATGCTAATGAAAAAACCTTTCCGACAACCTTTCCGACAAAACCTTTCCGAAAACCTTATTTGTCGATAACAAGATCATTATTTTCCTATCAAGTGGCTTCACTGAATAATTCCACAAACGTTTACAAAACTACAGAAAACGGCTACCAAAAAAAGTTCAAATTCAGGAGCCAAAAATGATGAACTAATGTAGTGGCGAAAAATTTTGATTGCTATTTTAGCTAATTTTGATTTTTAAATATCAAAAGTGCGTTGAATTTGTTACTGTTGCAAAAAAAACTTTTGAAGGGAAGGAAACAATTATGTTAAATGATGGTGAAGTGCTCAATCATCCAAATCAAAACAAGAGCAAATCTCGCAGAAAAAAAATACAATAAAATACGATTTTTAAGTTTAATTAAATGATTTTAAATGATTAAACTTAATTAATGATGACTACACTGATGTTAGCACTACTTTCAACAGAAAAAAAAAGCGATATAAATTTACTGTATTTGACTGTTGTCATTATCATCAATGTGAAAAAAAGTTCTTCAACCCTGTAGTTAAGATCAAAAAAGACATTTTTCTAAAAGAATATAAATAAACAGTTGTTGTCCTGAAAATTACAAACTTCAACAACACTGCATAATCGTCCCCAGTAAATGGTCAAGTATTCAGTTGATTGGAAATAATGGCAAGTGTCTGCTGTTGTCGTACCAGTTGAGTATTTATAGACTCCTTCAACGACAACAATTCTTCCCACAGTTGCCGCTCAGACTTCTTCAGAGCCTCCTTTAGCAGTAGCAATTCGTTTTGAACTTCCTCGGTTGCTTTTTCCGTCTTTGTTATGGATTCGCCGAGCGATGACAACTGCTTTCGTAATTCACGTTTTTCTTTTCTAGATTTGGTGCTTAAACTCTGTAACCGATAGCCGTTAATAATTAGGATGTAAAAGTTTTGATTTTGCTTGATAGCAAGAATTTTTCTACAGGTAGATATGATTTTGTTATAGACATCATTTGTTCATCTCATTATTTTTTTTTCCAAATGTTAATTTCTGCATCAGCTTAAGCCTACACTTTTTTCATCATATATTTCTGTGGCAGTAATATTTGTAAAATGTTGTCGCCTTAATTTTCTCATCCACGTCATTGTATTATTTGAATGAATTTGCTCTTTTCTCCTCAGTGACCAACGTTTCAACTGTGGTAAGAACAACTTGTACATTATGCCTTCCACATGCAACACAAAATCAATCTGAAACTTAGTCACAGCAATATTTCAAAAGCAAAAAAACTTGAACAAAGAATTGGCAAAAGTAAATACTCGGACCTGAATAGCAATACTAGTCAATTCCGCTTTCTCTTTTTCTACATTGATGTTGTCGACCACACCAACCTAAAAAAAATTTTTTTTCCATTATCACTTCAGCTAGTATGAGCTCAGCTAGGTCCAATAAAAAATGATCTACAGTATCACTTCTCAAGACTTATCAATAGTCCAGCTTACCAGTAGATCCATCAACAGAATAATCATTATAATGACAAAAAACACCAATGCTATGTTAATCCATGGCCGAGTAAATACTGTTTTATTTGGTGAGTCACTGTCAAAGAATATCTCATGATATTCTATCTCGCCGGTCATCATTACGGTCGTTTTTAGTAAACTCCACCAAATATCCTGGTACTCTAACTGCAGTTAATATATGTTAATACGTAAGTTTCTCTTTCAGGAAGTTGCTTTCATTTCCTCATAATAATGGAACTGATTAGAAAAATATGGATTCTTTGCCTTTAAATTTAAACAGAATCAGTGATGACCATACATGGAATACCTTGTTTTGCAACCACATATTGAACAGAAAAGCAAAGGCTATGACAAATAACACAAAAAAGCCAAAAAGACGTAAGATTGTTCGAAGACCAGCAATAGTGATGACCATAATGATGCTAAGGTGAGGTATCTTACAGCACATAATAACGTACTTTATCCATGCAAAAAACACACAAATTCCAGCGCATATCCATTGCCATTGCTAATAAAAAGAAAGATAAGAATCTCGAAACCAGAAATTTTATGAAAATTCTTCAAAAAATTTCAACAATCCAATCTCAAAAAAGTTTATTTTTAAATCTAGTTTGCGCTGTTGTTTAGAGGCTGATAAAAGCACCAGCTAATTTTGAGGTGAAAACTTTCAAACCTACCATTCGAAGGCCAGTAGCACGAGAACATTCGTTAAAATCAATAACAACTATTATTGATGTAGCGTAAACAGCAATTTCAAGAGCATTATTAGGACTGAAGAATTTTAGGTGACGTTGATAAAGCAAAAACACCTAAACTTGCTTTTGATTACTGGAAGAAAGTACCTCAAAAAAGCAATCAGTTTTTCTCGCACTGCTTTTAACAAGTAAAATATTTCAAATCCATGTACTTACATCTTTCTGGCACTATTTCGCTGCTGTTCACCTGTTTCGGTGCCATGCAGTGCTCAGCTTAAACCTTACCAGCATTAAGATATCATTAGGTCAAAAAAAACCCGCCATTTACCTTTTTTAACAATCCTAACAAAGCCAAGAAGATTATCAACGTAGCAACCGTGGTGGAGTGCATAAAATGTTTTTTTTGCTTCTGAAAGCTTATTTAACACTGTGCAGCACTGCTAAGATCAGCAATAACAATAAAAATGCAGAAGTACTTTTTTCGCGTTCAGCGTTTAGGAAGTTGATGAAAAAAAATCGTAATTAACAAACCACCATTAGACACGCTGAGATATTGGTATTAAGCTGTTCGTATGTGATGCTTGAATTTTGTATTTCAGCAATGTTGTATGGAGCCGGTTGTGCGGTGACGAAAAGTGACAACAGAAATAAAAACACTGCATAGATGGCTAAGTCTGTATAATATACATATCGGACTAATGAATTCCATTTGTGCCGCAAAAGACTGGAAACAAGAAAATGCGAAAGTAGATTAAGTCGTTCGTACTCCACCTAAATAAAGCTTCTAATCTTGACTACTGTGTGCTGATCATAACAGGTATGTTTTCAAGATTAGCTTTTTGGTCTGAAAATTGTTACTTATCTCGGTTCTAAACGGTCAAGGTTTATTTGCCCTAAAAAAAGTCTTCTAGCTTTTCTTTGACAAACAGTCTGCATACATTTGTTCATCGCCAGCAAAAAAAAAAAAAAACTTGTGAAAAAACAAGTGTCAAAATCTATCATCTTTATTTTCCTAAAAATACTAACCATTATTTTCAAAGGATGATTTGCTATTATGCTATCATAATCTGTACTGTACGGTTGAGCTTCCTTGAGAAAATTTTCCTCCTGTTCTTCAAATGCATTTCCTTTAATCCAGTCTGTAATCGAAATTCCACGTCAAGAATGAATGAAATTTTGCGGATGAAACTTATTCTGTTTTTTTTTACAAATATATTAAGGAAAGTCGGCGGCTTAAATTATTTAGTCCCTGCCAGCACAATCCGATGACTTTTTATTTCTCTTTTTGTTGATCTAGAGCAAAGTAGCCAACTTGAAACAGCAAATGCCTGTAGCGTTAAAGCAATGATGTATAACCATATGAGTTTACTCAGAGATCAAATTGTTGAACCTGCTGGATGTTTTGGGGCCATTTTTATCATCAAAGAATCATCAAGAAATTCATAGTTACACCACAGTATAAAGTCTCTTTCGTCATTAATATATTGCAGCCTTAAAAAGCAACCATAAAAAAGATACTGAAGCAAAACTATGATACATTTTCTACTGAAGTTTGGTTGCATTATGACTTGATATAGTGATCTGAGTTCAATTCTCTCTGTTCTTTGTCTGTCAATATTTCAAAAATAATCTGTTATTTTATTGAAAAACTGTTTGCTGTTTTACCAGCAGGCCTACTTCAAGCATTTGTTGAAAACAAGTTCAGCAAGATCTGGGAACTTTCGAATCAGTGAACGCATTGGAGTCTCATAAGTTTCCAGAAATCGTTCTCTTGACGAACGCATTACAGCTTGCCAATTATCGTCTTCCAGAATCACCTTACAGCATGCTCTTAAAAAAAAAGAAATTTCAGAAAGTCTTTTTATAGTGTTTTGTGCTTTTCAATTGTTATGTCTTTCTCACAGCTATCGTCAAATAAATATTTTTCATAACCGCTTCTGTTTTCTTACCCGTAATTCTGATGTGCAAATAAACATTATCGTATAAAATAAGCAATATGATAGAACTGTTCGTGACAATTAGGTCAATTTTTTAATTTGAAAACACAGTTTGCTTACGATAAAGGTATTTACTGCAAATAGTCATTGACTCAAATTCTGAAGCATTTGTGATAGAAGTTGAAATAAGAAAAGAACAGACGGATGGTTATTCTCAATTGCAATGTCAAGACAAGTTCTGCCATATTTGTCGAATCTGTCGATTTGTGCTTTATGACGCAGCAAAGTTCTTACGATTTCTGCATAACCTTTATCGGCAGCTCTGTGTAACGGCGTCTCAACCCTAAATTAAAAATTTCCCTATCATACTGCAGGAAAATGATTAGTATTTTCTTTAGTTTTTACGAAAATACATAAAGTTTTTGTTTTTAATTTGATTTCAGAATATCACTGGTGAATTTTCTGTGCATCTTTAAAAGATTTAGTTGAGTATTTTTCATTTCTTATAATTATTAGGAAAAGAATAAAACTTAGTAAAACTTCTAGAAAACTTCTAGAAATTTTAGAAGAAAAATTAAAAAGTTTAAATGACGTTAAATTTTTAGATTAATGGTTTGTAGCAATTCTGTTAACCATTTCCATGGCGATTCTGTTGCAGCACCACGTTTTAGAAGCAATTCAACAACAGGGAGTCTTCCTTCGTGAACTGCACAATCCAATGGCATTTGTTCATAGATGTTAGCTATCATCATTTCAGCTCCAGCGTCCAAAAGTACCTCGACAACCTGAGTGTGACCTTAAAAATAATTTAAAAACATTTTTTCTTTTTGTTTGTAAATGATTTGATGTTTGAATTTTCTAACGAAAAATTGTTGTCTGCCAGCCACATAAACTATTAACTGCAGCTAAAGCTAAAAAAGATGATACGAATATTTAATTTGTTTACGGTTTGATACTGAATATCGCCGAGTGGATAAGAAAAACTGTGAAAATGTATAAAACTCTCAAAAATTACCTTTCATAGCAGCGAGATGAAGAGGTGTATTCAAATCTATGTTAGTATCTCCGACAATTTTTCTGTCCCATTCCAACAGTTTACTTACCACCTATACAGTTGAATAATGTAAAAAAGTATTTTTTAAACTTTCAAATCATTATTTGTAAACTGTCAACATTAAGAAAAGACACATACATAAGAAAATAAACTACTGGAAAGTTAAATTTGAGTCCTGAAGGAGCAAACAATTAACCTCAGTTTTTCCTTCTTTCGCAGCATAATGTATCGGTGTTTCTTTGTCTTTGTTAATCGATGTAAATGACGCGTGGTGATCGTACAACATCTAAAAAACTTTTGCAATTAGAAAATAGCCATTAGAAAGATTATTAGCAGTTGAAAGAAAGACGAAACGATGAATTTAAAATTAAACTAAAATGATATTTATGATAGTAAGTAACTGAGAAATCCACAGTCTTAGTGACCAAAAATTACTTGCAACTGATTATTTTTTACAAATATTACTTTGACAACAATAAAAAAAATTTTTGATATTTAGACGATTAATTAGGTACTCATGAACAATCGATTACTTCACAAATCTTCAAGTGACCACATGCAGCAGCGATATGCATTGGTGTTTCCAAATCACTGTTACAGCTGTTCACAAATGCGTTCTTTTCTGCTTTACTAAACTTGGTACAAACAACCTCCAATAAATACTGCAAAATTCAGACAATTATAACAGAGATTTCTAATCAAATAATTTAATATTTAGAAAAAAAAAGAAAAATTGTAGAACCCTTAATGTAATTTTGCAATTGTACTGTGCGCATAAAAAAATGCAATTTCGTTTTTCCGAATCTTTAGCACACGGATCTGCACCGCCTTCGTACAGAACCTAAATGAGCAAATAGAGTTTGAGAATAATTTTTTTGTTAACTAAACAGCTAAAAATCTTCAACACAGCTTACCCGTACAGTTTCCCAACGTCTTTTTGATGCTGCCACAAGAAGTGGTGTAGCTCCATTTTTATCTTGAGCTTCCAGTACTTCGCGCTGTAATGCATCATATTTTTGTTGACTTCTGTAACTGCTTTATTATACTGTGTGCTATCAAAAAAAGTCAGAGGAATAATCAAAACTACTTTTGCTAATGCAAGCTCGTGATCAGTATCCGACGTCTGAACATTCATCAAGGTTTTTTTAGACTCCAATAGTATTTCCTGAAAACAAAGCGCTCAAGAATGATAAAGATACGTTTTTTACTCAGTTAACTGTGTTGCGCTAGTAATTTAAAAGTCGGAATTTCTAGATGGCTTAATTTCAAAGAGTATGGTAAAACTAAACGAACACTTCATTTGACAAAATAAACTGTGTCATTAGACAGCAAAGACTGTCTCTAATGTTTCCTAAGCAAATCAGCTTCGTCACTGGAAGTCGTCTTTAGAATTGCAGGTTTTCCGGAAAAAATCTAGGCTGCCAAATGTGCGCAGCAGTAGGACTGCTCCAGGCTGGAAACACCTCTGCCTTAACGGAAAAGTAGTACGTCGGAAGTTTCTCATGATGCAACCAGATTAGTCAGCGGAATACGTAACACACTGCACAATAAAACCGAGTTTAACATCCTAATCATAAGCGCAAGCAACGGTCAACCCACTCGACTACATTGGTTTTTCCTCACTGGCATATTTCATTAGACTTTGTTCAGTATACCTCTGCCCGACCACTACTTCTCAAAGGTCTGCATTACCTGATAATTTGCGAAGACATCTTTGAGTAATGATATTAAAATGGTCTTCTAACGAAACAGGCCAAGAACTGCTTTGAATGACGAATATGAATTTCTTGTCACACCTAGAAAGCTAAATGTGTTTCACCGAACAGTGTCTGTTTTAGCAAGTAAGGTGTTCGCTTTGTCTCATTATACTATTCAGTGCAAGCCAAGTCTTAAAATTCCAAGTTTGAATTGAGTGACTGATAGTTATGGCTACGAATTATGTTTAAACTTATTTTTATATTAATCGATGATTATCTAAAGATATTTTACAAAATTTCAGTCATTGGCATTTCAGTATCACAATATTATGACTGCAACAAATTTGAATTCGTCATTACATTGAAGAAACAACTAACAGGTTGAATGATGAATCTGACGACATCAACCTTGTTATATGTGGCAGCGTTATGCAGTGGAGTTTCTTCAAATTTATTTATAGCAGTTAGAAGAGCTCCTTTCTTAAACAAAAAGTGCATTTGATCTTACTTTTCATAGGGTACTCAAAGAAACAAATTTTTAAGTAAAAATTTGAAAGTTTTTTAACTTATAAAGATGAAAACAAATGTTTCTGGTTTTTTCTTGAAAAGAGCTTACTTTTAAAAGAACTTCGACAATGTCACGGTAACCTTTACTTGCTGCTGAATGTAAAGCTGTATTTTTCATAGCACCTTTTCCGTTGACATCACAACCACATTTCAACAAATACTGTACTACGTCAATAGAATTTGCATCTACAGCAACATGCAAAACATTATCTCCAGATGTATTTCTCGCCTCTAGAAGTATCACTTGCTCTTTCTCTGCTGCAATTTTCAACATAAATTAAACAGTTTTGAAGATTATTTTTTTACATTGAAATAATTTATAAAATCTATTTACAGAAACCTTCAAGAATTGTCTGTACAATTTTTCGATGTCCACTTTTGGCAGCTAAATGAAGTGCAGTGTTTCCTTGGCTATCAGTGTCTAGAATTCGAGCTCCAGTATCAACTAGCAGCCTAACAACGAGCAGCGACCCGTATGCTGCTGCCGTATGCAGCGGTGTCATACCATTTCGATCTTTTGCCTTCAATTACAAAATTCTAGTACCACGTACGAACTTTAATCGTTACACGAAAATATAAACTGCAAAAATTAGAGCATTTGATGTCTAACAGTGACATCGGCGTTAAAAGTAATAAGTTCTCGTGCAGCTCTAATATTGCCTTCCATAGCTGCATAATGCAACGGAGTTCGACCGTATTTATCTTTCGCCGATGTTTTTCCATTATTTTTAATCAACTCAAAGAGAATTGGGTGATAGCGGTGCCTGTCAATTGCATCTGATAGACCCTATAAAACGTGGTTGAATGCTAAGGAAAAATAATTTTTGAAACTTAATTTTGTTATTTAGGTTGTAATTTTTAAAATTATTGCTATAATTAAAAATTCATAAAACAAGCATTTACTGACTACAAAATTTTCAACTTTCAAAGAACTGTTGTCGGCGTTATAACGTGCTGCATAATGTAATGGGGTTAAAAAATTATTATCTTCACTATTAACATTAGCACCATTTTGTACCAGTAGTTCAACGATTTCACTATGTCCATATCGACATGCATGATGCAACAAAGTTAACTGAAGTTAAAAAACTGTTACTGTAATCCGTCCGTGCACAGCGTTGTAGAAGAATAAATCATAAGAATTAATCAGGCAACAGTAATAACATAAGATGGTTCTTTTTGGGTCAACTAAAATGATACACTTTCAGGTAGTGTTCAGAATTCCGAAACCGTTACTGAACCGTCACAACTTACCACAAAAATTGGCCAAAAAAAGAAATATGTCTACTAAACAATAATGTCGGAACAGCAATGTTAGAAAAATGTTGAACACCTTATCAGTGTCTTTTGCAGATGCCAAAGCTTTAATTTCCTCGTTAGTGGCATGCCTCAAAGCATCACGAATACTATCGGAATCTCCAAGTTTTGCATATTTTAAGAATAAATCACTTAAACGTTGTACGTCGATTATTTCCTGAGATAAAAATGAACGTAATATTTTATACAAATGTATAGCATCCAACACAATAGGAATAGGTACATTGTGAACAGAAAATTTTCTTTTAAAAAGTTAGTTTAGATTTAGAAAAATTGTTCTAAAATAGAACAAGACTGAAAGCAAAAATGTTGCTTTAACACTGATATTATTTTACTGATAATTCCTTCTCTCAAAGAAAAAGAAATTTAAAAATATTGTCCAACATTAAAAGAAAAAAAATTTTATACTTTTATACAAAATAGCACTTCAACACACTTATATTAATACTTTCAAAAGAAAATTTTTTCAATTAAAAGCTTAAACTTCCTTTTTCAGTTCAGTGTAAGGTTACAAAAAGTAAAGTTACTGCTCTTTTTCTGAGCACGGTAGTTGGAAAATTTTGAGAAATTTCTGAGAAAAACAAAAAGAAACAGAAAAAAACTAAGGCACTTTAACAATTTGTATGACGTTCCATTGCAGTGCTTCATAGACGGCACCTAATTCTGTAGTTGGAAATAACGGTAAACGATCGTCCTGTATCTTGTTGAAGCAATTTTGACGCGAACTTTTCATTTCTGACGACCGTTTCAAAACTGTTCAAGATAGTTTCAATCAAACTGTTTCCAGTCTAAGACTGAAAAAAGAAGTATCAAGTATGCACATTAAATATTGGTAACAGACAGCAGCTGTCCAACATCAAAAGAAAAGCTTTATAAACATCAAAGTTGAATGAGTGATTACCGAGTGATCAGGTAACACTGAACTATTTTAGTTCTTTTTTTTTCTTTTATTAGCAAATAAAAAAAGCTAAAATATATAAAGTTTATGCTTAATATATTTTGTCAATTGATATGTCGCCTTTTATGTCTTTTCAAAAGAAAAAAGAAAGAGAAAGAATTATTTGATAATATAGTCATTGTTTATTTGTAAAGCTGTTTGTTGAATATGTTCAGACAAAAAAGAATTTTTTTTTTGCTTTTTGTAATATTATTTTATTACGTGTTTCAAATAATAGCAATTTTACCTTTGGTGTTTAAAAATGACAGTCAAAAAAGGCAAGCGAAATTGATTGACAAAAATTCATTGGCAATAAAAGGTAAAAGCTAAGATTAAACTAACTAAAGTACAAATAACTCACTTACAAGCAAAAAAAGTATTTGAAGAAAACTCATCAGTCTTTCACTATTTTGAAGTTTCAAAATACAGCACAATAACTTGAAACAAAAGTTTTTTTTGGTTTTTTTTGCTGATTTATAAAAAAAAACAGAGCCGGAAATAAAGGTTGAGAAAACTTCTACTGTAAATACTGTAAAAGCGATAAAGCAGTTGTTTTCCTCACTTTTTCTTTCTTTTAAGTTTTATAACTTTTTGACTCAGTAAATGACATATAGCTTAAATGTTGGATGGTATTGATATATAAGAATAATTATTAACTTTGATTAGTTTGGTCTAAATTAACACTGAATTTTATTAAGCCAAAAACAAATTCCCCTGTTAAACTTACGGTTACAGTGTCTGATTTTAACTGATCGATTGTAACGTCATTTTGTTTATTCATTTTTGTCTTGGTTTTTTTTTTTAATATCATAACTCTTTAAAGAGTTGTTTAAAACCCAATAGAAACGAAAAAAAAGCAAAGATTTTTAACTTAAGAATTGTCAATATCTGATCAGCATTAGTAAATTATCAAATAAAACTAAAGAATTTTTTTTGCAAAATATTCTGGAATACTGTCACTAAATTTCAATCATATGTCAACCTGTTGAAGGCATAAAATTCAAAATGTAATTAATTTTTTCATTTTTTTTTTCTTTTGAGAAAAATTAAATTGTTTAATCTAAAATCAACAATTATGATGGTATATAGAAACAGTTTTGTAGATGAATTGCATTAGTAAGATATACTTTACACTACTTTACTGGCTGTCAAATAAGTAGTGTTTTAAATAGTCTGAACGCCAGTGTTATGCTTGAAAATAAAGTTTCAAAAATACAGTAAACTGTATTTCTATTTTTGAAAATTGTGGTTGTAAGATGCAATAATGTTAAATACTTCTAAATTATAATTTAACGCTAAGCTTTAATTATATAATGTGCAAAATAAAGCCAAATTAGTTGTTTTCTCACTGTGATGTCAGATTACATTTACTATTGCAAAACTTTCATTTGGGATGTCAATGTGTCCAAAGCATTACATTTATCACAACGGCAATAACAATAAAATTTAATGGTCGTTTTTTTTCTTTTTGTAACAGTTTTTAAAAGTAAAAAACTAAAAGTTTTATGCTATGTTATTGGTGCATAAGATTTGAATAAAGTAATCAAAAAAGTCTGTGTTATTGCAGTGTATTGGTGTTAAAAACAAAAACTGCCGTTGATTATGCAAAAAGAAAGAATTTAAAAAAAAAAATGAACAAATATGTAATAAAAATAAACAAAACGTGAAAAAATGTTAATTGATAAAAAAAATTAAATTTTACACTAATAACTGTCAATTTTTATCGACATCAATAAATAAACAGTTTCACAGACGGTAAACAACTGAAAAAAAAACCAAAAAATTTTTCAAACTTACATACATAACTACTCGTTTAATGATAGCAGTTTTTTTCTTTTCTCTACACTTTCAACCAAAAAAAAATGTATAAACAAATTTTTTGATACTGCTTATAGTTGCTTATAAAAAATAAAATCAAAAAAAGCAATAAAAAAAAGAGCAAGAAAAAAAAATAGAATCTTTGATGTATCAAACAGTACAGATAAAAACTACAGTCCTTCAATGTGTGTTGAACAGTATCAAAGTTTTGGCAGACTCGAAAACTTTCTCAATATTAGCAATTAAAAACCTTTTTCTTTTAATTTTATCTGCCATAATTCAGCAAACCAATCAATGTTTTATAGCCAAAACAGTTGTTGTTTTAAACTAATTTACTTACTTTTTTTTTTGCAGTTTTTTTCTCTACCTCAAAAACTACAAAACTTTTTCAGAACAATCTGTTGTTTAAATTACCAAAAATATTAAGAACGCTTTACGGTGAAAAATAATAACTAAAGTTTGGTAAAGGAAAATAATAGCATACTTTATGCAACAATTCTGATTAGTTTACGCTTAGCTAATTTCTTGTAGACAATCAAAAACACATCGAACACTTTACTGAACAATTTGGTTGATCATTATTCAGCAACTATTTTACTACCAACCCTTTCCTGTTCTGTTATTTAGGAAAAAGCATATTTTTATAGTCGATGGTTATAAATTGTTAAAGTTGCTAGAAATTTGTTAATTTAACGTCAATGTTAAAGCTAACAGGTTTTTTTTTTCATCGACACTGATCTATTTTTCTTCTCGTATTTCTTAATTTCCTGTCCCACTTAGCTGTTTTTCCTTGTTTCTGGCTGAATCGTCTTTTGAGGTGATGTCCATTATGACGTGTAGCATAAAAGGCAAATAACTTTATCAGTTGAATAAACTTTTCATACATCTTTATGTTGGCTACCAATTTATAACAACTCAACGGTGCTGCTGTCCGACTTCTGAGAAGACAATTTTTAGCTCAAAAAAAGGAACTCCAGTTTTTTATGACATACTCTAACACATCTGTAAAGCATTTTTTTGTAAAAGTGCCAAACTTAAAACAACATCGTTGCTTCTTAAAAATTAACAAGAACAATAAAAACAGGTCTGTGCATTTGCAGTATACCAACATTTTACGGCTTTAAATTTGTAATTTTATTATTTTGTGCTGTAAATAAACAAAAACAGCATTATATTACTTTGATTGTCGTTATAAGAGATTGTCTTTTTAGTAGATTCTCAAGACGATTTTTATGATAACCCACTCTCCTAGACGCTCAATATTGACGGAATTAAACTGCATGACGATAATCCAATCACTCTGAAATTCGAGAACTGTCTCGGAGCAACTTTTTTTTTTGTTTGTAAGTTAAATTCACTTTTGGTTTTTAGAGTTTTTCGATGTTCTCAACACTCCGATTACGGCTTTAAAAAAGTTTATACACATCTTTCTTACTTTTTAACTTTCCAATTCACAACGGTACTTTATTTCCTATACAAAAACGGATTCTTCTACTCCTAGCAAGAACACGACGTACTGCCGAGTATTTTTAGAACTGCTCTGTTACTGCTCTCTCTACTGCTCTGTTACTGTATTTTTAGAACTGCTCTCTTTCAAAATTGGACCCAGTGCTTGGTTTCTGTCGTACTATTAAAGACTCTTCCGGCTTACCTCAGCAATTCACATTTTTGATGCAAATAGTATGAGCAAACAATACAAAAAATGAGCTAAGAAGTTGTTTGCACAGTACATCATTTTCCATTGTTTGCCCAGTCTACCTTCAAATGAAAAAGATAAGAAAAGAGAATCTAAATGAGTATCAGAAAAACAGCGGAACTAAGAGCTCAAAGATTTGGAAGCCGAAAGGAATTAAACTGATAGAGTCATGAAAGAAAAGCATTAGCGATACGTCACTAAAAGTGACAATATTTCAAAAAAAAAAAAAAAAACGTGTTGAAAACTCTTGAAAAAGTTTTATGGATGTGGGATAACCAAAAAGCGTAAAAACAATAAATAAATGTAAGTTATCGACAAAAAATTAAAGTTTTAGATGGATATGCTAAAACGCTGTAGTGTTCAAACTACAAAAAAGTTTAGCTTTTGATTGTGCTTTACTTGATTTCAAAGATTCTCAGGCATTTTCTGTAAAAATTTTTTGCATCATAGCTAATTAAGCGGCATCTAAAAATGCTCTTCTGGTGACTGATATAATGTGTAGAGTCAGAAGGGGGAGTAAAACTGGAAAACCGTAGAAAACTAACCTGAATTATGCAAATGGATAAATACGACAACCAACTTGAAGGACATTCAATTGATAGTACTCCTTAAAAGATAAATTATTAAAAGAAAAAGTGTAGGTGTAAGAGATTCAAATAGCAGAAAGACAAGTTATAACCCGATGAACTTCTTTGCCAAATGTAAAAGAGCATGTGGATTTTATAAATTTTGAAAATTACTGACGATTATTTTTAGAAGAATTGTTATGCTGTAATACATTGCTTCAGCCACCCAAAGCTTTCGCCAACCCAAAAACAAGAAACCTCAGATGTTCCATTGTTTGCAAAAGCGATAAATAAGATTTTAGAAGGAAAAGTGACGAATTGGAATCTAAAATTGCATATATTTGATATGGAAGTGTTTGGATTTAAAAATGTTTAAATTTTTGTCTTTACTGTTGTTTCAAAGATTTTTGATTACTTTTGTTCAGTGTGAATTTCTGTCGTTATCGCAGCAATTTAGCGGCTCCAAAGAACAGATGTAAATTTGACTCGAATTATACTTCTGCTTCTTCGCTTTTTGGTATTTTCTTACAAAAAACTAATTTTTGTTTACACAACAAATGCAGTAGTTTCAGGGAGTAAAATCAGATAAGCGGTAATAATTGTCAATAACTTTCTTATCGCATATTTTTGAAAGTCTCAGAGAGATAAATTTGAAAATACATTTTTTATTTTTGAATAGAGCTTAACCGCCTTTAAAGTGTGTGATAACAAATTTTAAATTAAGTTTATTAATCTGACTAGGTTGACCAACTACCAAGCATTAACCGTGACCAATTTACAGTGTTATAAAATAGTAAATTTAATAAACCTGACTAATTTTGACTTCAATCGAAGTGTTTATAGTTGATCTATATATTAACCGATTTTTAAAAACAAATTTTTGGTGGGTTTTCTAGTTATGGCCACAAATAAAAGCGCTACAGTGTATTTTAGAAAGAAAGTGAGCGCAAGCCAATTTTCGACAATGAAATGTAATGGCAACCAAAGACTGAGAAAATTTTTTGGACACTGTGACCGCTAGTTTGTACATTTGGATATTTTTTTTCTTGGAGGGGCATTGTAATCGGCAGCACTAGTTCTTGAGATATTACTCTCTCAAAAGTGTTCGATACACTGGTCGAAATCCGACTCAGACGTTGCTACTTGGTCTTGTGTCATAGAAGGTCGTAAAAAATTTTTAAAAGTTTTGGGACATTTCCAAGTTGGCACCAAACTGCATATTCCGGCTGCTGTTTAGAACCACAAATCAGCACTTTTAAGTAACATAAAATTTTGCATAAATTTTATTTTCGATGAATCATCGTTCTCGGGAATCCACTAATTCAGCAATGTTGAGGAGGTTTGTTGAGTACCTGCCAGTCTTACGTCATTGTTCGTTAACAACAGCTATATTTCTTAGAAAAAAATTTTGGCGAATATATCGCATTTTTGCGATGTTCGGCAATCTTTCATATCGCATCCTTCGCCAAAATGACATTGAAATATTAACGGATAGTCGGCTAACACGCTAAATTGCTGCGGTGCTTATCCAGTAGAAAGATACAGCGTGAGTCCATTAGTTGTCTTATTTACTATTTGGATAGAAATGTTGGCGCTGTTGTACTTAAGCTTGCCCACTGGCAAATACGCCTTATTTTAGCCGTCTTCGTACCGTCATATTTTGTTGTAAAAGTCCCTGATCCCCCTTCGTTTATTTGGGATAATTTCAGACTTGTCAAGGTGATATCCCATTAACTTTTTTTCTGCCAATCTGCTGTTGAAGTGTTGTTTAAACTTTTGTAACAATAGACGACACTGCACAGTGGTGCGGGTTTTAGCGGCTGGTGAGTAAGTCTTGTAATCGCAATCCTGGAAATCTGAAGAATCCAAATTTATACTTGAAATAATTTTTTTTTTCACAGTTTTCAGATTTCCTGACCGTTTTTTAGCTCGTCCGAAATGCTTGTGTATTCCCTTCGTTTTGTCTTGGACATAAAAATAATTGATCTAATGTATTAGGCGACCGGAAAAGTTGCTAATAAAGGTATTCTGGAAAATTCATTAATAAAACAGACTCAGAGGTTTCCTTTCTTGCTCATTTTTTGTGATTTCTTGCTGCTTTTTTGTTTAAATTGACTGGATTGAACTGACTGGTGATTATGACTGCTGTTGAAGGCACCAGGGCTATAAGCATTTGTTGCAGTTATGGAATACTTGTGGGACAGTAAGGAGTAGTGGCCATAGTGTGTTAAAGTAGTAAAGTAGTGTTTTGCAGTGCCATAAAAGTTTAAATGAGGCCTTTGCACTGAACCATTAAGGAGTTAAGAAGAAGTATTTGGACAAGTCTGAAGTTGTCACAGGTAGATCATTGGAGATCAAAAACCTCATACAAAAAAATTGAAGAAATAATAGTAAAAGAAAACCACTTTTTATGCTGGGTATACCTAAATGCGAAAGCGTTTAAATTTTATAGCATTAGAAGAAATGAAAGTATGATTATCGGTGTTGGATGTTTCATATGTATGATGTATGAAGGTATCGCGAAAGGAAAAAACCAATATTTTATTTGACGGCCGTGGAACATAAGGATAGCCAGTCAGACGCGAAACTTTTATAGTTGGTGGCTGCGCGCATAAAGTACTCTTGGTAAGACTTTATAAAGTTTTTCCTATCAGTTCTTGAAAGAGGAAAAAAAAGAATGAAGAAACTTACTTCTTTGCAAAATATGTTATAAATTCAAGAAGAAATTCAACGAAAAGAACCTAAATTGCAATTGCAAATTGTCATCAAAAGAAAGAAAGCTGGTAAACACCTACCAATTTTAAATTCATTGCGTACTTATGTTTGCTTTGTGACATGGTTTCTTTTTAACCGTTGCTCATTGTTCACCCATCGATGTCAATTTTACTAACTTTTTTTGCCAATTTGTAACAGAGCACCATTACTAGGTGTAAAGGTTTTCTGCACTTTTTCTCGTCATGTTCATGATGCGTGAGCTGGTAATGGAAACTGAAAGGCTGCTGAACAGGGAACGTCAACACGTCGCATTTAGCCGCCATTTTTGGAATTGATTAAAAATCTTTGATACTGTTTTAATTTACCCACTTTCCCAGAACGATCTTTTTCTTCTCCTTTTTTTTTTTGTTGGTAATTTTTTTGAAGGCTTTCCGGAAGGCCGACGTTTAGTGCTGCTTTTACGGATTATAGGCTCGTATGATACTGTTTATCATTGGCGGTGAACAGTGTTTAAAGTTTTGTCTTTTCTCATTTAAAATTTTTACTACGTCTATTTTAATGAGAGAAAGGGAAGAGTAGCAATTTTTAGAGATAGATGTAGGGGGCAAATTTTTTCCATTGACGTTTTATTAAAAAATGTTTTGTTTGCACATCTAACCAACTGCAAAAATTACAACTCATACAGTATATTCTCAAGAAATTTTGTTCAAGTTTTCCTTATTATCTATACATAAATTTTTTTGAGGGTTATTTTACTCTTGGTAGTCTTTCATCTTGTATATATTCTTCTTTGTCCACAATTACGGTGGTGGCAGCAGTATAATTCATTGCATGAAAGTTTTGCACTCATTAACTCATGTCTGTTAAGCTTTTGAACTCCGTAACATTGTAGATCCGCTACATTTGTGTGTACACACCCATACCGGGTATTCCTCATTTCGATAGATAGTAAAAAGTAGCGCACTTGCTGAACAGAGGATATTCATCCACATTGCGTATATTACAGTTTGGCGAAACAGCATAAAAAAGATCCAATGTAGAACCCAAACTCTAAAAAGGATGCTTGCATAATGATTTCATAAGCACTACATCGATCCTTTGCCGCAATGCGCTCATTTAGAAGCATATATAAATTAAAAGGTGGTCTGAATTAGGTTTTTCATCGTGAAGAGAGCACAAGTAGAATTTTATGAAACAGCATTAGGTAAATTTAGACCACTTAAAAAACAAAAAGAAAGGTGAGAGTAAGTTATCAAAACACTTTGAGTTGGAAGGACTATGGTCAAATGGTTCTTCGCAGCATTTCATTTCCATGGTTACGGATGTACTAACTTACCTGACAGGCTTTTGTTTAATTCTCTGCATGCCTTTATCGCAAATATTAGGGACCGATGACCTCAAGACATATGAAATCACAGATGTAAAACATCCTTGCAACCGTTGTATATGCTTCGACTAAAATAGGGGTTTGTATGGCTGTTTAAACAGTGGAAAGCCATCAAAAGTTTGGTTTTTAAAGAGTAGAATAGACCTAAATAGAATTTTCTGAGTTGGTTCCGAATGCTTCAGAGACGTCTGGAAACTTTGTAGAGAAAAAGTGAATGTACCGACAAGGAAAGGCTTTTTTTTTTTTTTTTTGGATGAACTTGGCTAAATAAGACAGCGCCAACCTTTTAACTGTGACGACCAAAAAAAGGCTCTCAGGGAATAAAAATATTTTCTTTTTAGAGAATGGGTGAACCGGAAAGAGTTCGAGTTAGTGGGACCACTGAGAAGATCAGAGGTATTGTCGCGTCCTCAATTATTTTCTTATCAGCGTTTTTCGGGTCGTTTTATATATTGTTACCGTTGCTGCCACTTATGTTTATCAACCATACCTTATGGAGAAAAGTCATTGATCGACTTGTTGGCTTCTGGCTAATTTTACCATCAGTATGGTCTTCTTCCTTTTGTTCTTTATTATTAAGGTTTTGGTAGCAGTTTGTAATTCCTTGTGTTGAAGAAGAAAAACTATTTTTTTTTCACTGTTCTGAAAATGTCCGTTGTCTTTAATGCGCTATTGCCTAACAGTAAAGTTTTAGGGGATTTTAGAATTTATTTATGGCATAAAATTTACTGTTACTGGCCAAAGGTTGGAAAATAATGAACCAGCTTTGATTATAATGAATCATCGAACTCGGCTCGACTGGTTGTTCTTTTGGAATGCTTTACTTCGTATTGATCCATGGCTGTTGACTTCACAAAAAATTTCTTTGAAGGTATCATTAGCATTGTTCGTAAATAGTAAAGTTATAAGGTGTATTTCAGAAATTATTGAAGTATATACCTGGCGCTGGTTGGGCAATGAGCTGTGACATGTTCATTTTTCTCTCCCGGTCATTTGAAGACGATTGTTCTCGTATTGAGTCGTTAATCAAGTATTATCAAAATTCTGGTTACAATTACCAAGTAAAAAAAATATTATCCTAATTTGCTTTTCTCATTTTTTTCAGTTACATTAGACGACTGTCACACTTATGATGCATAGTCCTTGATTTTTTTTTAGGTGTTGCTATTTCCGGAAGGAACTGATAAGTGTGAGCGGGCTACTGAACGAAGCCGATTATATGCTTTAAGGAAGGGTTTAAAACATTACGCTCATGTGCTCCATCCAAAAACTACTGGATTCGCTTTCATTGTAAGCAAGATGAGGGAAGGTCTGTCTTTAGTATCTTCTTTTGCTTAAATATTTATGATAAGATATTTTTTATAATTTTCGTTCTACGTTTGTTTCTTGCATAGATTTGCTTGTTTTAGTTTAAGTAGAAACTGGTAGCTGGGTTTTTAGTTAAGGATCCTTTAATATGCAATTTTTTCTTCCTAAGCTGTTACATCAGATTTTAAATGTGTTGTATAATGATATGCCTAGAAGAATAGTGTTCTCACTTGGAAAAAAAATGAACTGTTAAAATTGAAGAATGATTTTTAGAAGGATTTTGAAGGGTGAATGGAAAACATCTTAAGCTATTTTTGAAAAATACAATTTGAAAGTTCTAAATGAAGAAAATAATTAGTGTGTTCGTTTTCTCGTGCGTTTCAACATAAATAGAGCTTAGCTTACAGAGATATTAAGGCAGTGAAATTTCTTATGTTTAATTCTCAAAATCGTTTTTCCCTCCACTATTTGTTTTTCAGTGAATTACATACGGAATGTCTATGATGTTACCATAGCATATCCTGATACAATCGTGCAGACTGAACTCGACTTCATTCGTCTTGGAGCTTGTCCAAGAAATGTTCATTTTGATATTCGGAAAATTGACATCGGTTCACTTCCCGCAAGCAGGACTGATCTTTCGAGTTGGTTGATTGACCTGTGGAAGTCGAAAGAGGAGAGGCTAGAAAAGTTTTATAGCGAACAGGACCCGGAGAAAAGACGTTTGGATACCGAGTATGACGCTCAGTCGTTCGTGGTAAACGAAGAGGAATTTTACAGTGATAATTGCTTCATCACTTACTTTTTTCCTTTAACAACATTTCAACTTTTATTTCAGATAACAAAAGGTCACAGAAAAGTTCAAGTTTGTGTAGTAACGTTTTGGCTGTTCTTAACAGGAGTGTGGACTTTCGTTTTTTGGACTTACCCATCACAACTACTTCTTGTTACGTTAGGAAGCATAATTTTTATTGGGTCTCAAGTTCTGTATGATGGTATTGAGTGGCTTGCTGTGCGTGTAGCTGGCGGAAGAATTGCTCTTATTGAAAGGTTGTTATAAAATAACTGAAGATTAATGGAAATAACTTTTTTTTTGCAAAATTGTATTTTCTCTCTGGTTTTTGGGACAGTTAAATAATTTCAATATTTTAGAGACCGAAGCTACACTGAAAGGTCTTCTGATTTTGCTGAACGGAATAATGGATCGTTTTCTAAAATAAAGTAGCAATTTATTTGCTATTTTTTCTGAAGTATTGTCAGGACTCACTAGTATTGCCTACTGCGTATTTTGAAGGAGTTGAATGAAATGTTTGGTATTCTCTAATTTTATCTCTTTATAAGAAGATCTTCAAAAATATATTTGTCTGAGATGTGTATTTCTTCATTTCTTGTTTTCATTGCAAGAAACAGCATTTGAAAGGCTTTATCTTTGTAACAAGGTAAGGCCAAGAGAAGCATTGAAAAAAATAAAAAGACTTGAGCAGGGAAAACAACATCATGACTAAAATAAGTTTAGCAGCAGTCTTTGTTTTGTTGTATATATGGTAGCTACTAATTCGTTTTTTGGTTGATTACCTTTGAATTGTAACTGCTTTGTCTTTTGTACAATAGAGAATTTTCAAAACATTTTGAAATTAAATTTTTTAAAATAATGTTAGTCAAGTCTATATTTTTATTTTTTGAAACACTACTCGCACTTAGTTGATCACAAGTTGTACTCTGTTAATGGGTTTACATTCATATTGCTGCTCAATTTTAGCTGTACCACCGTAAATGTCTTTCTTTCTTAATAGTATTCTTCATAATATTTGGTACTTGTTAAGGTCGTATGGATCTATTTTTTTCAGTTTTACTCGAGATTGTCGTAATTGATTTCCTTAGGGAACGTATCAGTTTTTTTTGATAGGCATTAATTACTTATAAGCGATGACTGTTCTCATTTTGATGAAAGTCTCATCTTTTGGAGCAAAAAACTTTGCTAAATACTTTTTTTAACAGATATAATGAACAAAATCTTTGAAAATAGGAGTTCATAAAACTTCTGTTGTTGTTTTTTTTTTTAAATCTATTAATTGCTGCTTAGGATATCTTTTTTGCTGCAATGTTAGAACTGTTCGCTCTGGAAGGATAAAGGATAGTTAGATGCGTTTGGGAAGACTTATTTAGTTAGTTTTACATCAATATTAATGAAACATTTAAAAAAAATTGTTGAAATGATAATACAGCTTATTAGTGTACTACTGAAGTACACTGAGGATTTCATACCTATTGAAATATAAATCTGATATGGCAATGGAAGGATGCTGCACCGTACAGTGCCTGTTGACTGCTACACTTACAAAATAGAGGAGTATCATAGGATGGCGAGAACTTTTGTTGGGGATTGGAGAGAGGTTTCATAAACCGTTCATGATGCTAAAGGAAACTTTTGCTGCAGGTCGTTTGTTTTTCATAATAATAGTCTTGACATGCTTAGATTGCGCTGTGTTGCAGCGGTTTGGGACTGAGTAGATGTATGTTTGTTCTGAAGGAGTCTGGTTGGAAGTCTGGTGTGAAGCATATGCACTAAAAAAATGAATTTTCAGGAGGAAAATGGTAGCATTTTCAGGCTAAGAGAATTAAAGGCTTAATTGGGAGTCTGGGGTTGTAGGGTAGTTTCGATCGAGAGTGATCTAAAAGGGATCTAGTGCAGTGTTCGTTGTAATCTTTGCTGCAAAATACTTACCGTGGATACATAATATAGTGGATTTAAAGTTGACCTACTAACAAGCCGGTGTTTCGTATTTTTTTGAAAGGGCAAAATTGATGTAAAAATTAATTTTCTGCAAATTTTCTAAATAACTGTAACTTTTTCTAAATGAAAAGTTGGGAGAAAGTGGAATAATTCTGCTAGAATAGCGTCTAAACAGGCTAATATTCAGATGGTTTGAGCAGTTGACCAATGGCTGACGATAATCAGTGGTTTTCTAACATGCACTAAGAATCAGTCTTCCATTTTTAAAGACATGTAAACCTAGGTAAATTTTAGTATTTTATCATGTCAACAGTCTTTGCAGTTGTTTAATCAGCTTTGACGTAATTAATGGAAAAGATTACAAGAGGTTCACAATTGGTCATCAATCGTTTTACTGCTTTAGGTTGCAGAAAACAGCAGAATCAGTAATTTAGGTTTCTGCTTGGTCAAGAATAAGGTTTATTGAAGCTTGTTGTTTAGAAAATTTTTTAAGGTAAAAGTGCATCGGGTTGGAACGTTTTAGAAAGGTTTGTGCTAAGAAGGAATTTGTCACTTACTGTATATAGTCTTCTCATTGTCGATGTTGAACTGAGGTGACTTTGTCCAACAGCAGTGCAATAAAACAATTAGACTGCGAATAAAGAAAACTTTTTATAAGTAGTTTTCGCAAATCGAATCAGAGATGTGTAAGGTTAGTTTAAATTTTGAAGAGTTTAGTCAGCAAATTGCAATTTGGTTAAAAAAATGGATAACTCTGACCGAAGGAATGTGTCTTAAACAAAATATTTCTATAGTTTAGCTAAATTTTCTTGCTTCTCTTTTGAACGAACAGAACAACAAGAACAACCACTGGTGAAAAGCTGTTTTGGCTTAATCACTCAAGGGGCAAGAAGTGTTATAGAAATAAAAAAAAAATATGTTAAAGGAATATCAAAAAAAAAAAACCTTATTAATTTTTTTTTTAAAAGCATCATTTATTACCTCATCAATTTACACTGATGAGACCCTATTACTTGCTTAAATAATAATCCAGTTATGCTGCACGATGAAAAAATCACTTATATTTAAATTATAGATTCTCCACTGTAATAAAAATAATTTCTTGTACAGCCAACAAATTTTGTAGTCGTAACTGGGAAGGAAAAAAAATCACTAAATTTTACAAATCTTTTTAAAGTTATTACCTGCAGTCAAAACCATTAGAAGCAATAATATTGTATGTTACTGAAGGTCTTAGAAAATATAACCTGACGATCTTCAGCGATGATGACCTTTCAATGTTTGATGCTTCTGCTAAATAGTATCAACAGCTTTTTTTGCCTGTAGAAAAGGAGATCAGTAATAAAGCAGAAGTTAGAATTAGGCGATAAATATGCACAAAAATACAAAAATTTTGAGTTTTTTTACTCGGATAGGAATCACAGCTGTATCAGTGTCAATCTTCATCGTTTTAGTAGAATTGTATTCTTCAATGCACTGAAATATCGGAGAGGATAATGGTGACTTTTAGTGTATAAAATAATTTCAGTTTAATTTTTCTTTTTATGTCAATAAATAAACGTTTAAATTCAAGAATCAGTGAAAGAAAAAAAAACAGTAGTTAAAAATCAGTTAGAATGTCAACTGAGGTTAACTTTATTAGATACAATTATTGGCCTTCAAAAATGATCAGTTTTATGGTGTTTGTTCACTTATTATAGTTGTAAAAAAAAAAAAAGCAACATACTAACAGCAACAAACAACAACAACAACAGAACTGATATTGCAGAAGATTTGCACATTGCAAAAGTATCAGTATTTGAACAGTCCTTTAAACGTTGTGAATTGTCGGGGTGTTTAATTCGGTTACGTGAAACCGCTTAAATTACTTAATAGATTATGCTGTTTTTTTTTGATGCTAAAACAAGTAAACAAATTGTAATTGATAAGAGTTTTTCCTTCCTTCTTCTTTTTTCAATCATTTTTTAATCAGATAATATTGGCATTGATAGCTGTATAAAAATTGTTTTTTTTTAAATCAAAATAAGCAACTGTATATTTTTTTTTGACTCTTTTTGTTGTTTGTTGAGAGAGCCATTTTTTTTTTTTTTTTTTTTT